CAGCCCAGCCCAGCTAAAAATGCAACGCTACTGTAGGTTCTGTTCATAAACCCAGTGCAACTCTTTGTGCATCTTCATCATGCAAGCCCCTCCCTCTCTCTGCGAGGTGCAGTGAAAAAGTCCGTCGCATGTACGATAGAGGAGGAGGAGGGGCGTGCCTGGAACGAAGAACATGCAACTTCTTCCCCGCTCCCCCTTTCTTCTTTTTCGCCGAGATGTGCAAACCTCCCCTTCCCCCCCTCCCCTGGCGGGCGCTTCCAGTTGTCAAGTCAGTCAATTGCTGCAAGTACAGTAACTACTGGTGGTTATCAACAACACCACAAAAAGGTGTTCATGGCTGTGCGCCCGCGCCCGCTCTCAGCCCGCGCCGGCGTTTCTAATTTCGGCGCCACAACTCCTTCGGAGCGACAATGCCCAGCGAAGAAGAGGAGCTGGTGCGTGGTGGCTCATCTTGCGACCAGCTTTCGTCACCGCACCCAGCCGCCGACCGGGGGGCTCCGAAGGGGGGCGGCGTTGTTGAAGAATAATTTGGCAGCAAGGCCACCGACCCCATTTACACGAAACATATTTCCCCCGCGGGCTCTCGTCTTCAAATCATATCATCTCATCAGACTTGGACGGACAAAGAAACAATCACATCTTTGTGTACGTATGGAGTATACGTCCCGTACACTGTACCTCTGCAAGAGAACTTCTTTCAATGGGCAACCCCCCCCCTGGTTTTGGTGGCGCTCAGTGCCGACGAAACGGCGTCATCTTACAGGGGAAGAAAGGAGGAATTGAGGCTATCCCCTTGTCCTATGACATGCCACTTACATGAAGCCATTTATTTCTTCATCGGTATACAAGCAGCCCCCATTTCCGAAACCGTGTCTCTGCCTCTCACACTCCTTTCCTGCCAGCACGTCACTTGCCAAAGTTCGTAAGGTCGTTGTTGATCTTGAAAAGCACACATTTACAGGTCATTTTTTTTTCCCTTGACAGGGTCGGCAACACAAAAAGGGAACTCTAGCGAGGAAAAAGAGGCTGCGAGATGGGATTGGCTCTCGGCCCCCCGTGTCCGGCATTGGTCACCAGGTCATGCACGGCCTCGCTCGCGCCGGGCCATCCTTGGCTTTTCTCCTCTCTTCTCTTCTTCCTCGGCCAAAATAAAAATAAAAATAAAAATAGACTAAAAAGCCAACGAACATGTTCGAAGCTGAAGGCGAAAGGGGCTTTTTCCTTCTCCGTCTCTCCCTTTCCTTCTCCTCTCTGCCGGCTTGTTCTTGCCTCGTGTTCGCCCAGCCCACAGCCGCTTATACACGTGGCCCCCGGCCCAGCCTCGCCGCAACTCTGCATTACGATAGATGGAATATCCAAGCCCGTTTCTACTCAGTATTCCTTCTCTCCTGACGTGTCAAATGCTCAACTCTCTCGCTTTGGACATGTTGTCATTTCTGATAACCCTTCCTCGGCCGCATGGACTCGGTGAAGGGGGGGAGCGGAGATGTGCCATCCATCCAGCCATCATCCAACAACCCCTCCACCCACGGCTACGCCCGTTTCTAGCGCCCGCGGCTGTCCTCATCCGTTGTCGCTCTCCTTTTGCCTTTCCTCTTTCGTGGCTTGCTTGCCTCGTAGCCCGTTGTCATCAGGCTGAACTTCGACAACAACACATCGTCGTGCGCGTGATGCTCTCGTTGGCCAAGCTAGCTGCTCAATGGGCTCTCTCCAGCGACTCCCTCTGAGCTGGCCGGTCGGAGTAGTTCTGTGGACAGCTACAAGCCATGTATGTCTTGCAAGGCATGTCATCATCGCCTTCAGTCAGTCATCAAAGCTGCCACGAGCCATCATGCCACAAAAGCAAAGAATGAAATCTGCCAATGTAATGCATGTATGCGCTGCATCGTCACCCATCTTCAGCAATCGTCATCATCGTCATCGTTCAGCCCCATCATCACATATCACAACCACCTTTCCCTCATACCCCTCCTCAAAGAGACAAGGGTAACTAGACTTGTTCAAAGGATCGCAGGTGACAATTGGCCTTGGGCAGCACTGAGCGTATAAGCGCTTCCTTGTCTACCGAAAAAGGCAGCATACATGACCACGGACGAGACAAAAAGAACGCCAAAATTGCCCTGGTCATGTATAGCGCGCGCGCCCGAGGGGCTTACTTCAACCTACGTGGCCAAGTCCATTGGGCACAAATCACAATCACAAACGTGCCAATCCATTCATCCATCCACAAGACCGCAGCCTCGGGCCGCACTTTTCGCCCCAAAAAGACGGCGACCCCCTCCCCATTCTTGCTGTCCTGCAGCCTCCCCCGACGCCTTGCCTTGCCTTGCCTTGCATATGATATGTCTTGCTCGTACAGCAGAGAGCCATACATTCATACATGCATGCAGGCAGGCCCTGACGACCTCGAATGCGTGTCCTTTCAGTTTCAATTGAGACTGTGTCGAAGTAGTTAGCCATGTTACCAAAAACAACTCATGGTGGCTTGTCCCCCAAGTCGCAGAGACAGAAAGCGACGTCCGTCGGGTTGCAGCTTGGAAATGCTCCCCGCATTTTACGCAGGATTTGCACTTGGCAAGGTTTTTGATCTTTCTCGCCATGTTACTTGGTATGCCGGAGCCGGCCCTCTTTTGTCTGGGTTCTTTTGCCGTGCCTTGTCTTGCCTACTTCTCTTCTTACCCAGCACCGGTAAACTAAAAAAGAAAGGAAAAAGAGATAAAGACAGACGCAAATGTCAGAACTAAGATGCTTGAGCCAATCACGTCCGATGGCCGGCCTGCGAGACTAGTGGCATCAAAGAACTGGGGAATCCTGGTTTAGTAGAATCGGGTAGAGCTTGCCGTCGACGACAGGTGCTTTCTTTGGCGCATATCCGGGCGAATAAGTTGTTTCCGTCTATTCAGAACTCAAACACAAGATGCCATGACATCAGGGCGGGCAGAAACCCGTCCTCATCATTCATGGCTTGTGTAACTGAGCTTGCGAAAGTGACTGATTCTCTTCTCGAGGGCCCGTAGTGGCTTTCGGGCTTATCCAGTTGCACAATAGCCAACAACGACAGCACGACCATCCCAAGTCACGAAACAGCAAACGAGTCACGAAGCGAAGGACGGACGGCGCGGAGGAGACAATGATTTGGTCCCTTTCTTTTGCGCCCCAAATCGGGCAGGTCAAGTCAAGTGATGTCGCCCTGTGCCCCAAAATTTTGTCATGCGTGCCGCCAAGTCGGATGAAGCAGAACGTGGGTTCGTCCAGACGAGATCCCCGAGTCACCGACGGCCGTCCCGGTGGGCGGGCGGGCTGAGAAAACGTCAAGCGCATCGGAAAAAGGTCTCGGATCGTGAAGAGAAAACCCCTCATCTCACCGCATGAAAAATAAAAAGGAAAGAAGGGATGAAGTCGCGTGGCTTCAAGTCTCACAAATGTTCGCTCCTCTTGTCACGCAAAGACGTTTCCTGCAGCCATTGTCACAGACACACACACACACACACACACCCTCCACGCCGTACCGGCCGAGATTCGATGTCCAGACAAGACACTCAACAGCGGACACGCCGAGCAAGCCCCCATCGAGACAGGGGCGTGATCTGAAGGTCTCGGAGAACCCTAAATATTTGAGATGAAAAAAAGAAAAAAAGAAAACGTGCTCATGTGGCCGAGTTTCCGCCTACACGCAGTCGCAATAACCCTTGCTTCCTCAGAGACCTTTTCACTCCTCCGGCCTCTCGCAACCGGCCCCAAGGGTCCATGGATGTACCCCCTCCTCCAAGGCCCAAGTATCATTACCTGCGGGAGTCTCTTCATTGCCCATCGACTAATCATCGTCAACGTTGCCTCGACAGATGATGTCCTCACGCCCTTCCCGACACCTCACTGACCTTAGTCTCCCCCGGACAACACATGCATGAAATATTTTTATCGCTCCCAATGGAAATATTGGTAAAGAAAAATAGAAAAAAGTAAGCTCAAAGGATCATTGCATCAACATGAATTAGTGAGGTCGTATCCGGCCGAAATCCTTTGGTGCTGTCGCTGCAAGTTGTGGTAGCATCCAAAAGCAAGACAAGACAACACACACTCTCTCTCTCCCACCCAGTCCAAAAGAAGAGAGAGAGAGCGCCATCCCTCGCTGTTTCCGCCTCCAGCCTCGAATATCCGGCCGCTCCTAATTACACTCGCCGCACCTTTTTTTTTCTTTCACATACCGTCCTCGTCTGTTTCGTTCCTTTATTATTGAAAAATTAAAACACCACGATGGCGGGCGCCCTTTGCAAAACGCACAGGTCACATCTCGCTTGCATGGACAAGAGCATTTTCTCAACCCATGACCCCAAATGCAGTGAAACTCGGTCAAGTCTTTCTCTCCCTTTTCTCAAAGCAAAAAAAATAAAAAATAAAAAATAAAAAAAATAAGAGCTCTCCCCTTCCTGTCAAACAAAAAGACCGCGTCATGTTGTGCGACGCGAGCTATCATCTGTGCAGGTCAGGACATTACTCATGCGCGCCAAGCCAATGCCGCCGCGATCCTCAGCCTTGTGCGACCTTTTTTTTTTTTTTTTTTTTTTTTTTTTCTTGATTGTCAGCTCTTTTTTTTTATTGTCGGTGATCCTGAGCTATTGAAACGTTTCGTTATTGCCAGGACGCAGCTCATGCGGGTGCCGTGGTGCGTGGTACGACGGGCCGGCTAAAAAAGTAATTTGCACGACTCAAGTACAGTCAGCTTAAGCAGCGCGCATCGTAAGCTTTGGTCGCAGAAACATTGATTCAGAAACTCGCAGTATATTCGAGGGTAAACCCAATATCATGCGTTTCAGCGCTTTTTAAGCTTTGGTCGCAGAAACATTGACTGGAGTTTGCATACTTTAGGGCATCCCAGTTTAAGTGCATCATTTAACTTTGGTCGTAAAACATTGATTGGAATTTGTATAGTTGAGGGCAACACTATAGCATGAGATTCAAGTATACTCCATCATATATGGCTTAATAAACAGCAATAATGCTTATGCGGACAGCGGCTTCTTGGCACGAATCTCGCGAATCGTGTCCCGCGTCCTCGCGTTCTCCTCGAAACTCGCCCTGATCAGGTCCACCACCTCGTCCACCGTAAAGTAGAGGCTCAACTCGCTGTCGCACCACAGATACTTGACCTCGTTCAGGTTGCTCTGCAATACCTCGCTAAGGTACTTGAGACGCAGCCAGTTGGGCGCGTACTGCGCCGTCGTCGGCACCTCGTCCTCGCTCGGCGCCGTGTCGCCGAGCTTGCTGGGCAGGAAGAGGTCGTCCAGCTCCGTCGCCGTCGATATGAGCTTGGCGATGCTGTAGGCGTCGTCCTGGCCAATCGAGCTCATCTCGAGAACGTCACTGATGAGCCGGCTGGCCATCGTGTCCGCGAGCGAACCAATGGCTTGCGACCAGACGGACCGTGCGAGAATCGGCTCCCAAGTGCTGGCCATTGTTCGTATGCGCGTCGTCCCAGCTTCCACAGCTGATTCCATTTCGTCCTGCTGCAGTAGACTTTGCGAGTCACCCAACAAATCCCCCAGTATGGTCCGTTGAATGCTCATCTCCGCAGCGTAGCTGCGATTCGCAAAGCTGCGCAAAGTTTTGATGTCATTGTCGAGGCGAAGCATGGCTTTTGCCCGGGGGGTCACATCCTCGCGTTCCTTCCAATTGGCACTGAATTCACCCAGCTTCTCAGCCAGATACATGGCGTCATTATATAAATACCTGCTGCTGTTAGTACAAGCTCATGAGCGCGCATATATACCAAACTTACATGTTGCCACCCTCAACAAGAGAGTAATAGTGAGGCGAAATCGCTCTGAACAACGCCAAAGCAAAGGTTGGTAGGCCAAAGAGACCAGGTGCTGTTCCAGCCACGAGGTTATACGCCCCGTCCTCCTTTGTGAGTATCATGCCATCGTCCAATATTGAGGAAATGAGCTCCAACACGAGCTCTGGCATGGAAGAGATGCTATATGTTTCTTTGAGGATAAGTTCTCGAGTCTCGTCGCCTCTTGGCTTCGGTCTCGCGACGCTCTTGGCAGGCGTTGACTGGACGGTCTGCGCTGGCTCAGGTTCAGCAGCTGCATCATCGTCCCACCCCCAGGCGTCCGCTCCGTCATCATCCCCAGCTGCGTCAGCCGCGGTAGCCTCTGGGGCGTGATCCGCGCTCTCGCCCCAGCCGCCCCAGGCATCGGTGCCGTCGTCGTCATCCGCTGGCATATTGTCGGTTTCTTGAGCCTTCCCGGCTGTCGGGTCCTCTTCATTCCAAGCATCACCCCAGTCCTCGTTCCAATCAGTAGTATCCGCTGCGGCGCCAGCGCCTGTTGTGGCAAGCTCTTTGCCTTCTGCGATAGTCACCATGTGCTTTTCAATCTTTTCAACCTGCTTGGGAGCTCCGATACCGCCGGCGAGCCTGTTTCGCACACCGTCGAGCGCAGTGTCGCGACACTTTCCGAGCCATGTCATTGGCGCCTTTTCAGCCCACGTAGAGATTCGTTCCAGGCCGGTATATCCGTTTGCGTTTAACGTCGTGCAGAATTGCTCTGTTCGTTGAATGGCGTGTTGGAACGTGTCCATATTCTGTAGAGATGATGGAACAATTGTGTCCAGCCAGTCATCGAGGAGTTTCGGTATCACATCTGCAACCATTTGGCTGGAGAAGTTTGGTAATAAATCAGCCGGCAGCTTTTTTGCCACAAACACAAAGATTGTCTCCAGGTCTGTTAACAGGTTATCAATGGAGTGATCAGCTGTCCCAGATAAGCTGAGCTCGTCGACATCGGCAGAAATGCTCTTGAGTGACGTGGCTTGGAAGTCCATGCGCGGAGAGACGATGGATGAGTTGAGATTGTGCCACAGCTGCTCCAAACGCTCGTCCACTTCCTTGAATGCTTTTAGTCCGATGACAGAGTCGGCGAGAGACATTCTGCCATCCGCATATGTGTCGCGAATGATGATTTTCGACGCGTCAACGTCGACATTGACCATGGATTTCCATATTTGGTCAAAGACTTGATATGCGGACGACTTCAGCTCAAAGGCGCGAATATCGAGGAGGCGCATCGCACGACACGACCGCGGCGCATTCACATTGTCTAGAGCGGCCCACGACTCTTCCAGAAAGCGCAGAGATTCCAGGATGCGCTTGTCAGCAAGCGCATGCTCGACCTGATTCAGTAGCTCAGAGACTCTCTTGAGGCTGCGCAAGACTTGGTGTAGTTGATGGCTATACTGGACCTCGCGGTTTATGAATTCGATCTTTTCTTCCGCATCAGAAATCGCTTCGCCGGATACGTCCGGAGCCTCGGATTGGCGGGTAATCTCGTTTGCCATGGTCTTGGAGCGTATAATGTCTTCCTGTAACGATTTCGCATTCTTCGCCCAGACGGTGACGTCGTCTTTTGTTTCTTCGTTTATTTGATGAATCTCGGTCTATCGCAGAGATTAGCCTGTGCTACGCTTGGTGGCTAGCAACGACGACGAACTTCAAGCTCTGCCGCTGCGCGGTTCAGGCTGTCAATGGCGGGCTGCAGGTCGGTACCGGAGAGGGGCGGCAGAGCGTCGGCATCTTCAGGAAAGCGACCGCTTAGCGCGAATGCCATGATAGCATCGGCAATCTTGATGGGTTCCATCGCTGCAGCCATGTTGTTGTGCCTATTTCTGGGAGAGGAAGTCGACAAGTTGATCAGGAGCTTCAGTACGGTACCGACTGGCACCTAGCGCAACAGTTCCTAGAGCTGAAACTTTTCCTCGCGTCGGTTATAAGATGGCAAACATGGCCGAAGCCTCGAGCAATGAGTATGGCGCGTCGCTGGGAGCGCAAGGTTGGCGGTCGGCATGTGCCAATGTGTGGATTTCAGGACAGCTTGTGAGGTCATCCAGCCTAATTGCCAGCAAAGCCCGATTGCGTTTAGCGCCTTTTGGCTTTGCTTGCTTCCACCACCCCACCATGCGCTGCGAGTTGAGAACAATAGATTAGGATGCGTCGCAGCAGCCTATTCTTGGCTCACACACCTGACGTGCAGCTCAAATATTGCTACGGAAGGTATTTCGTGCTGAAAGACGCACGTGGCACGCCAAATAACGATTGCGGTAAGTTTCTGCCTTTCTACGCAGTGCCGTGATGGGTTTCGCCTTGGTCGCTACCCCGCCATGCGATGCCCGGCTGGTTTCTTCACACAAACAGAACAAGCGCCTAACACTCGACACAGCAAGATTTCGAAACGTGCGCGAGGTCGATTGTCCATATCTGAGTCGCTCGTATATGAAGACAAGAATATAGCTATATAAATTCCGCTGGCTCTCGGTATGTGGTGGACAGCTTCCCAACCCCGTGCTGGAAAGAGAACCAACGCAACTAACAACACTCCGTGAACAGACACACCCGACACGATGCCGTCCGAAAAGCGTCACTCTTGGTTCAAAAAGCTTCAAAGCTTCAAAACCGACTATGCGCCTTGCACTATTACCCAATATGTCTCTGAAAGAAGTGGCATGCAAGTTGTCGTTGCCGACCGTCAAGGGCCTAAGGTCAACGGCTACTTTACTCTAGCCACCGAGATTCTCGACGATTCCGGTGCACCCCATACTCTGGAACACCTCATTTTCCTTGGCTCCAAGAGCTATCCTTACAAGGGGCTTTTGGACAAGCTGTCGTCGCGCGCATACTCTGGCACCAACGCTTGGACTGCCACCGACCACACTGCCTATACCCTTGAGACTGCAGGCTGGGAAGGATTCTCGCAGATCCTTCCTCTCTATCTTGAACACGTCCTGCTTCCCACCCTCACGGACGAGGGTGTCGTGACAGAGGTGTGGCATATTGATGGTGAGGGCAATGACGCCGGTGTTGTTTACTCGGAGATGCAGAGCGTCGAGAACAATGGCCCCGAAATCATGGACATCAAGGCTCGCCGGCTTCTTTACAACAAGAAAATTGGCTTCCGATACGAGACTGGCGGTATGCCTGGTGCCTTGCGCGTCCTCACTGCCGACCGGATCCGCGAATTCCACAAGGAAATGTACCAGCCCCGTAACCTTTGTGTTGTCATTGTTGGCGAGACGGACCACAGCGACCTTCTGCAAAAGCTGGATGATTTTGAAGACAGTATCGCTTCTGACGTCCCCGCTCTTAACACTCCATTCAAAAGGCAAGTGAAATACCCTTATCCTTTCACACCCGCCCGTGGCATACTAACCCACCACAGACCTTGGATGGAGTCGGAGCAGCCTGAAGCCTTGACTGAGACCATTGTGACTACCGCTGAATTCCCAGACGACGATGAATCTATTGGTGAAATTCTGGTCGGCTTCTTTGGCCCCAACTGCGTTGACCTCATCAACACGTCTGCCCTCAACGTTGTTCTGACCTATCTCTGCGGCTCCTCCGTCTCCGTACTAGAGAACATCATGGTAGAAAAGGAAGAGTTGGCTAGCTCCGTTTCCCACTGGTGGGACTCTCGTCCAAACTCCGTCATCTGGCTGCAACCAACAGGCGTTGCGGCAGACAAGCTGGAGTCTGTGGAGAAGCGCCTATTCGAGATTCTGAAAGAGGTCGTCTCCAAGCCTCTGGACATGGGCTACATGTCCGAATGCATCAAGAGAGAGAAGCGACAGGTTAAATACCATGCCGAAAACTCGGAGTCATTCTTCTCTACCAACATCATTACGGACTACCTCTTCGGTAAGCGCGACGGCTCTACCCTCAGAGATCTCGAGACCTTGCACGAATACACCGCCCTGGAGAAATGGACAGGCCAGGAATGGCGCAGCTTCATCCGCAAGTGGTTCATTGACGCTCACCACATCTCCATCCTGGGGAAACCTTCCATCAAGCTCGCCGAGAAGGCAAAGAAGACTGAGGAGGAGCGTGTTGCAAAGCGCAAAGAGGAGCTCGGTAAAGAAGGACTGGAGAAGCTTGCCAAGAAACTCAAAGATGCCCAGGAGAAGAACGATCAGCCTATCCCCGCCGAGGTCTTGGACCGGTTTGAGGTCCCCGGAACTGAGTCCATACACTTCATTGAGTCCGACACAGCTCGTTCTGGAAAGGCCAAGGCCGTCGGTCCAGGCACAGGCACCGCCCAGGGCATCATCGACGCGGCTGCAGTTAGCAAGCTGCCGCTGTTCATCCAGTTTGAGGATGTGCCGACAAACTTTGTCCACATTACCATTCACCTTGGCACCTCAAAGGTACCGGTTGAGCTCAAGCCGCTGATGCCCATCTTCTCAGACAACTTCTTCAACACTCACATCATGCGTGATGGCAAGCTCGTCAACTTTGAGCAGGTCGTTATGGAGCTCGAGCGGGACAGCGTCGGCTACGGTCTTGGATCCGCACGCTTACTGGGCGACCCCGAAGGCATTGCGATTCAGTTCCAGATTGAGCCGGACAAGTACGCGGCTGCGGTGGAGTGGATACGGACCATGATGTTCGACTCGGTCTTTGATCCGCAGCGGCTCAAGGCCGCCGTCTCCAAGGCTCTTGCCGACATCCCGGAAGCCAAGCGCAACGGCCAGGGAATGGCGGCAGAGATCGACGCAGCCATCCACCTGGACCGCTCAAGCGTCACCGTCGCCAAACGCATCCTTGTACGCGCCGTCTACCTGAAGCGCCTCAAGAAGCTTCTCAACAGCGACCCGGAGAAGGTCGTGTCGTGGTTTAACACGATCCGTACCTCGCTCTTCACCTTTGAGAACCTCCGATTCCTCGTCGCCGCGCGCATCTCCACGCTGCCCGACCCCATCGCGACCTGGGACCCGCTCGCCGCCGCCCTCGGCAGCGAAGCGAAAGAGATGATTCCTGTGCCGGCGCTGTCGGCGCTGCTCAACGACGAGGGCCGCGCGCCCGGCTCCGTCGGCGCCACCATTGTGCCTTTGGCCTCCCTCGACGGCTCCTTCAGCGTCAGCACCGCCGCCGGCCTGTCCTCGTACGCCGACCCGCGCCTGGCCGCCGTCATGGTGGCCATCAGCTACCTCGAGCAGGTCGAGGGCCCGCTGTGGGTGGCGGTCCGCGGCGCGGGCTACGCGTACGGCACGCACTTCTCGCGCGGCGTCGACGCCGGCGTGCTCTGCTACCGCGTGTACCGCTCGCCCGACGCCGCCAAGGCCATCGCCGCGTCGCGCGAGGCCATCCGCCGCATCGCCGAAGGCGACGTGGCCATCGACAAGCACCTGCTCGAGGGCAGCGTCTCCCAGATCGTCGTCACCTTCGCCGACGAGCAGTCGACCATGCCGAGCGCCGCGCAGCAGAACTACGTGCAGGGCATCGTGCGCGGGCTGCCGCGGGACTGGAGCAAGACGGTGCTGCGACGCGTGCGCGCCGTCACCGAGGAGCAGATCAGGGCGGTCATGACGGAGATCATCCTGCCGTGCTTCGCGCCCGGCAAGAGCAACGTGACCATTACGTGCGCCAAGATTATGACTGAGGTATTTTGAAAGCGTCCAGCGACTGGAAAGAAGAAGGAAAAGACAGAGGAATCTAGAGCTAACGATGAATCACACAGAACATGGAGGCGTCCATCAAGGCCATGGGATACAAGGTGCAGACGCGCGAGCTCAGCGACTTTCACGACGATTACGGGCTAGAGGCGCCAGAAGGTGATGACGACGAGGAGGATGACGAGGATGACGACGAGGAAGATGATGAGGATGAGGATGACGACGACGACGACGACGACGATGAGTCGGAGGAGGATTAGAGGTCTCGGAGGCGTTGGAAACGTACATCTCATCAACAAAGCACAACATAAAACACGTGTTGTTCATACTTGGAGACGAGCATAACGTTGATGAAATCAATAGAGAGCGAGTAAAATGTACACAGCGATGCATACAATGCAACCCTCGTGCTATATAGTCCCCCGTGACGACCTTTTTACAACACTTCTACACCATATCCCAGAAAAAAGTATACACAGGTTTTCTGTTTCCCTGATGCTTTTTATTTCTCTTGTTTACAGCTCATCGCGACCAGAGGCCTTGACAACGCCCTCCTTTTCTTCCTCGACGACGACCTTGCGATCGCTCTCCCAGCCGAGGGCCTTGAGGCGCTCGGACAGGTGGGGGTGGGAGAAGTGGTAGCTGGCGTACACCCAGTCAGCGTCCATGGTGCTGAGGTTCTGCTTGTGGAGCTTGATGAGGGCCGTGGACAGGTTCGACTTGAAGCCGAGACCGAGGGCGAAGTCGTCAGCCTCGAACTCGAACTTGCGTGAGAGCATGTTGAGGGCGAGCTGGAGGACAGTGTCCATGGGCGAGAGGGCGTCGGAGAAGAGGATGAAGCCGATGACGATGGGGTGGATGTTATGGAAGCCAAAGGAGGCATAGAGGGACTTGTTGTTGATGAAGACGGAGAAGAGGCTAAAGATGTAGAGCAGATTGACCTGGGAGATGCCGAACAGACGGGTGGTGTGGCCGAGCTTCCAGTGGCCGAGCTCGTGGGCGAGAATGGCGAGCACCTCGTCCGTTTCGCTCTTCTCGAGCAGGGTATCGTAGATGACAATGTGCTTCTTCCAGGGGAGGCCGTAGAAAAAGGCGTTGGAGTGGGCGCTGCGCTTGCTGCCGTCGATGACGTAGAGCTCGGAGAGGGGGAACTTGAACTTGTCGGCGAGGGCGTTGACCTTGTCCTTGAGCTCGCCGTCCTCGAGGGGGGAGAGCTTGTTGAAGAGCGGCTGGATGAAGACGGGGTATGCGGTGATGGCGAAGAGCTGGATGGCGGCGGAGAAGGCCCAGAGGTAGAAGACGAAGCCGGTACCGGTCTTTTGGATGATCTTGAGGAAGCCGGCGAGGATGGGGGGGACGATGGTGGCGAGGATGAGGTTGGACTTGATCATGTCGGAGACGAAGAGGGTTGGAGTTTGCTTGTTGAAGCCAAATTCCTCTTCGAGGACAAATGTACTGTAGAGCTTGGCGGGGAGACCGAGGAGCTGCTGAACAAGGATGAAGGTGAGGACGAAGACGATGGAGTGGCTGATCTCGCCAGTGAAGCGGGTCGGGGCGAAGCGCAGCAGCCAGTCACCGGTCAGCGACCAGAGCTTGGGGAGTACGTCGTAGTGGATGAAGGCAAAGTTTTGGATCTGGGACCAAAGGCCGCTGACGAGGCCGAAGCGGGCCTTGGCGCGGCCATAGGCCTGGGACTTGTCAAAGGTGTCCTGGGGGATCTCCTTGGCGAGGACGGCGGGCGGCTTGGTGGCCTGCAGAACGCGGTACTGGCGCAGGGTGAGGAGCGACTCGAAGATGTACTGGCCGACGGAGAAGCCGAGGATGAGCTTCCTCCAGGGGAAGAGCGGGCGGTCGAGGATTTGCGCGAGGCGCTGGGAGGGACGGGAGAGGGGTAGTTAGCGACGGGGAGGTCGTGAAAAGGGTTGGGCAACACGTGCCAAATTGATGGGTATTGGGGAGGATGTGCATACCTGAAGAAAGTCCATGGTGACGGGGTGGCTATATCGGTAGCCGACGACGTCTGGACAAGAGAACGGGTGTTTGATGTTCAAAAGAGAATGTTGATGAAGGAGGGAGTCGACGTTGGAGATGCGACTGGAGGTTCCTGGCTAAGCGTTGGCGTGGCGCGGCAGGCCAGGGTGTCCACTTGGCGTCACGTTCCTGATTTCCCCATAATTTTTTATAACTTAGGTAACACGTAGCGTAGGTATTTTCTTAGATACTAAGGCTCCTACTATATTAGGGTTTTATCCCCCCTCTAAAAAGAAGGCTATATAGGTTAACCTTAAGAGATCTAGTTAGTTTCTAGTTACTTAAGTAGCCTTTATCCTTAGGAATAAAGAAAAATTAATAATTAAGTTCTATTTTCCTTTTTTAAAAGTTCTTATAAGTCTCTTTAACTACAAAGCTATAATTTAATTAATAATATAATTCCTCTATAACATTATATAAGAATTCTTCTTAGAGTTTAATTATAATTTATTTCTATTTCTATTATTAATTATATTTAATTTCTTAATAATAAAGTTAATATTAATATTTATTAATTTTATAATAATTATAATGTAATAATATAACAATAAAACTACTTTAAGGTTTTATAATCTTTTTATTTTTTTCCTAAGCCTAGCCTAGTCTATGATGCTGCAAAGGAACCACTAACGGAAACATCATCGACCCACATAGCGCTTCCAACCCTTCCACTCCCAGGCTCGAACGGGACAGTTACTTCTTATGATGAGCTGTTATTGCGCAAGGCTTACACCCGTTCTGACGATGTCTCCTACGGACTATTGCAAGAGGACCATCAAGTACCTTTTACCGCCCAATTTGTCACAGCTGGCTTAGATGCCGACAGCACTCTCTATGAGAACAGCCAGCGTGTTTTGACAGCCGTTTTGATCGAGCAAAGTGAGTCGGAAGTTGTGCAGCAAGTTGACAGACTCGTAAATGGGCTCGGAACTCTGCCTATCAATGCCACACTGCATCTGGCTACGCAATCCAAGTCGCATTCGGATCAGCCACTGGAAAACGTTTTTAGTTCAAACATCTTGCTAGGCCTCGAAAAATCCAGGAACGAAGGGGGAATCTGAAATCCCGACCTAAATGTTTCCTTGTCTTACAAGACGGATTTCCTGGATCAATTCGCTGCACAGAATATTTTGACAACCTTCAAAACCGTGCTACAACTCATTGCAGCCAATATCTCTTCCCCGTTAAAGTCTATTAGCCTCATAAGCGCCCAGGACTTGCGTACGATTCGCTCGTGGAATGCCGTTGTGCCGAGCCCCGTGCATCAGACGCTCAACGACCAGTTTGAGGCGACATTTCGCGACAACGCAGACAGAGAAGCCGTCTACACTACCAACGGGTCATTCACGTACAGGGAGATGGATGATTTGAGCACCATCATTGCAACGCGGCTCATTGAGCCTGGAGTTAAACCCAGCACGATTGTCCCCATCTTCATGAGTAAGAGTAGATGGTCCGTCTGTGCGATTGCCTCAGTTTGGAAGGAAGGCGGGGCCATCGCCACAATGGACCCTGCGTATCCTGACTCTCGCCTTCTTGCTATCATTAACGAGTTCAAGGCCGTTGTCATTAGCACTGATCCGGAAGAACGATCAAGATTCGATGACGCTGACATCCGCGAGGTTACTGTCACGGAAGACCTGCCAAAACATCTGGAAGAGCACGGGTTACCCGTGCCGCGAGACCAAGCTTGGAAAATGAGTGGCGTCCAGCCAGGAGATCTCGCCGTTGTTGCATTCACGAGCGGAAGCACTGGAAAGCCGAAAGGCGTTTTGCACTACCACGGACGGTTAACCTCGGAGCACCAGTCCTACATCTGGAACATGGAGTATAAGGGGGGGTCCAGGATATTGCAGTTTGGGTCCTACGCCTTTCATTGCATCTGTTGGGTAAGCAATTCACAGTTTGTGTGAGACTGTACACCCCTACTGATTGGCGTTGATAGAGAGACTGGGCGATCTTTTTCGCATGGAGCGACGCTGTGCGTTCCATCTGAAGAGGAGCGCCTCTCTAGTTTGACAGACTTCATCAGGAGGTCGAGGGCTAGGCGATCGTACATGACCCCATCTCTTGTTCGAACAATCAACCCCAAGGATGTTCCTAGCCTGAATCCTCTGTGTGGGTGGCGAATCGATTCCGAAGGATCTCGAGAAAATTTGGGGTCCTCATGTTCACTTTATCCAGGTCTATGGTGGTAATTCATCTCACCAGTTGCCTCCTACAGGCCCAATGTTGATACTGACCCGAAAAAGCCACCGAGGGCAGGTTTATGGCTAGAGACCCCAAAAGTCAAAACCACAACAAGAAAGGCCTTAGCCCGGTTGGTGGGTTGTCGTGGCTTGTGGATGCTCACGATTCTAATAAGCTGGTGCCTGTTGGCGCAGTTGGCGGAATTGTCTTTGAAAGTCACGAACTGGCTTTGGGATATCTCAATGACCCAGAAAAATCAGCGAGGACGTTTCTTGACCCCCCCGCTTGGGCGAGGGAGCGACCCGAGGCTGCAGGCTGTCGATATCTCCGCAATGGAGACTTGGGCAGATACGAGGCGGATGGTAGCGTGTCACCTCTTGGCAGGGCAGATATGCAAGTAAAGGTATGTGCGTAAATGGTCATGTGCAGGCCTGGTCATTTGAATATCATGCAGAACGTCAGTCCTGACATTGCGGCAGATCAATGGACAGCGCGTAGAGCTTGGCGATGTCGAGTCAAACCTGCGTGTTCTTGTACATGATCCACGCTGTTGCTAAGGCTGATTAATTCAAAATACAGTATCGAGCAATCAAAATCGTGGCTTGGCGTGCCGATTGCGAGCTGCGAGGTGACGGGACGACCCAACAGCAACCTATAGTTTGTACTTTATACATACTCACAGCACAGAACAGAGAATCAGCGGTTGGATAATCGGTGCAAAGCTGCAAGGCCTCCAGAAGCACCGAATGACACTCACGGCGCTAGATGTGGTACAGACCCTTGGCAAATCAAATGGTTGAAACAGGGGGAGTGGCCAAGCGATCTGGCCAGGCTAAAGCTGCTCCGCATCTAAGGGTGAAAACCAGCGTAGCTACATATTATTATTACTTTAGACTGTAATATCCTTTTCTGGATTGGATTAGCCACCAGCATCCGGTAGTTGCGATGAATGGTGCTTGGCACTACAGAGAGAGGCTGGTGTGGGGGCGCCAACGTTGTTCTTTTGAGCCCTAAACTGCGTCTCGGAGCGAACTGGAGTGCGAGGAGCCGCATCAGCTGTGCATAGTTGAATTGCTGTTCATACGGATGTACAGTACATTGTATATGCAGACGAGACTCACCGCCTTGCAGCTGTTTGCCCTGCTCCCGGCCTTTGATAGCTTTGTCCCGACCCCCAATCAGCAAGGTGCTCGGCTTGAGCAACAGAAAACATTAGCATCAAGTTTTGACCGAAAAGATAGCGTGATAATTCCAGCCATACTGTCATGAATCGAACACGACGTAACGTTGATCAGTGGCGTTGGGATGGCGCCATGCAAGGGCACACGGAATCGGAGCGGAGCTGGAGGCCGAAGTTGGGATAATAAGCCACCATTACGACCGAGTCCTGTCGGTGTCGACATTCTTTGTGGGGGAACTTGGCTGCCACCACAAGTAAATCAACGTTACAGATGAAGAGTAAACAATCCAAACACGACTACGCAAGCGATAATATAAAAGAGCCTAATCTCTTTTATTCGTGAGCCGCTATATATCTAACGCTCCAGACTACTACCACTCCACATGACCGCATGCCACTTATACAACTTTTGCCAACTGCCAAAGACTACACACGAAGCAATTCGTCATGATTTCCCTTCTAATAATGATTCTCAAAGCATCCGCCATACTGGCTGCCCCGGAAAATTCCATGGGCAATTCAAGGCAAAGCGTCGTCCCTCATCAGGGTCAACAAACCTGGGTCCATCCCGGGGTCTTTATGGACAAGGACCAGCTACACTTTATGAAGCACAAAGTGTCCAAGGGTGAGCAGCCTTGGCTCGGAGCCTACAACGTTATGATGTCGGACCCTCTGGCCTCCCTGACAAGGAAGGCTGCACCGGTGCCCATGGTTCAATGCGGCTCATACTCCAACCCCGATGTGGGATGTTCCGACGAACGCAAGGACTCCATCGCAGCGTATGCCATGTCGCTGGCCTGGTACATCACCGGCCAGAAAGAGTACGCCCACAAAGCTATCGAATACATGAACGCCTGGTCCGCCGTTGTCAAGGATCACAACAATACCAACGCGCCTCTGCAGTCGGCATGGGTTGGGTCTACCTGGGCTCGAGCGGCGGAAATCATCAGGCACACAAGCGGGTGTTGGGATGACGCCGGTGTCCAGAACTTTGAGGCAATGCTCAAGAACGTATATCTGCCCAAGGTCATCCCCGGCGCCGGTACATGGAACGGAAATTGGGAGCTAGGTGAGTGACGAGGGCGGCTGAAATCCTGCTAGTCCGCGAGTTCGTGCCGCGATGCTTACCCAGAACAGTGATGATGGAAGCAGCCATAATGATTTCGGTCTTCGTGGAGGACCCGACCTCATACGACAAAGCCATGACCAAGTTCCTTGCCCGTGTCCCAGCATACATCTACATGCGCTCCGACGGCGATTTCCCCGTGCCCCCCGCCAACACCTCCATCTTCACCAAAGAAAGCGTTATCAAGTATTGGTACAACCAAACCACTTTTGTGGATGGCCTAAGCCAAGAGACATGCCGTGACCTCGAACATACCGGATATGGAGTTGCGTCCATCTCCCACGTTGCAGAAACATCACGAATTCAAGGCCGGGATCTTTTCGTGGAGGACATGGGGGCGCGTCTGCGTGCTACCATGGAGTTTCATGCGCAATATGCGCTGGGTGCTCCGGCTCCAAGCTGGCTGTGTGGGGGGAAGCTCACGGGACAATTGAAGAATGGTGAGTACCGTCTTTTACCTTTCAGAACTAGACTTGTGCTAACTAAGACTTAGTGACCGAAGTTGGCAACTCCGAGTTAGTCTTGCGATTGGGAAAGTCAATGCCCCAAACGAAGTCATACACGTTGAAGCAGCGACCGGGGGGGGAGAATGGCTTGTTTGTGCTTTGGGAGACTCTCACCCACGGTCGCGTCTAAGCTCGTTTGCCAGGTCCTGACGTTCTTTCAAGCCACTTATGTCGGATAAGGCTGCCTCTGTGGATTGAACAAGCAGATTTGGTGTAACTCCTGGTTGTCACAAAATCATTAATATCACAAGTTTGGAAAGTTGAGAAACCTACTAAATAAGAATAGATGATATTAATCCTTCTTGAGGAGCGCCGGTGTGATAATAGGCGTTACAGACAGGCCATCATAGCCGCCTACTACGCTAGGAATCGAGATCCCTAATGCAGTTCATCACGAATCGCCTGGATTCCATTTTGTCAAGTTGCGCTACTGGAGGCATAATACCTGACTCGCTATATACTGACTACTACAGCAAGAACATGGAAGCTTTTCTTAGGGCACTCACACCAGCGCTGCATTACAAGGCCCAACGGCTCATCGTAGCACCAACACTGTGCAGTCCGCGCCTGGAAAGTGTGGAAAGGAAGTGCTCTGAGTAGCTACAGACCGACCAGGTTAGCAGACTTTGCAAATCGTCAAGTCGGCACGCAGCAGTAGACATTTGCCCTCGGAAATTGACCGCCTGAAGCAGTGAAGCTGAGGTGTCCAGGCCCTCGCCTGAGGTGCGCTCGGCTTCTGCTCCTACTCCACGCTCCTCTCGCAAATCACCTTGGGCGGCAGTAAATGCTTATCTGAGACTTCGCCGTGTGTGCAATGGAGAGCCGTCCGGCCATCTTCGCGGCTGTACAGTTATTACGTGCCTGAGTAGCCGCAAGAACCCCAACATGTCGGTGGCTAACAAGTTCGGTTGAACGCTACCAACCGAGGAGGAATTGTCCTTGACGTCTAGCGTCGTGAACTCTGTTGCGTTGAAATGTCAATAGTTCATGCATCTGGGGGGTTGTGCCTCGCCGAATTTCCAGATGAAATGGTGGATAGTAGACTGATTGAGAGACGACGATGGCAGCTGCTTCTTACGACTATGCCGGTGGGGTGCGTTCGAGTCGGCATCGAATCATATGTGCAGCTATAGAGGCAATTGGAGATAGTCCAGTCTTTGTAGTGCTGTGTAGCCAGCCGTTGCTATTAACGCCCGCTGTATTTTCGCAGCCAAACGCCCGCTTGTTGCATTGACGTGCCCTTCCTGTCCCTCTTTAGGGCAATGGGTTGGTTAATAGTGGCTGTCCTCCGTGGCCACGCTATGCGGCAAAGATATGTCCATGGTCATGAGATGTGGATTACTTGTGAGCTCGAGTGCCTAAGTGAACTCGTCCGCGAGCAACTGGCTAGCCAGCCTTCGTAGTCTCGTTGGCACGAACTTGACTGAGCCATCGTCCAGTATCAGAGGGGATATCTGCTAGAATGCTTCCTATGTAGGTGAGGGAAACGAGCTCTAGCACCGTAAGTTGCAAGGCTCTCTCCAGCGTCCTGGCGGTTAGGGAGAGGGGGCAGTTGGTATTCGATCCTCAACGTATAGATTGCCGTACCGTGGACTATCTGCTCTATTTTCACCTTCAGGTGTTCGTCTCGATAGATTCGTGAAATGCACGTACCTGCTTGCATCATTGATATTCTGCCTGGACACATTCTCTATTGGGTAGGTGCGAAGCTGGATGATTTCGATAGGCGTGGGGTATATCACTGAATTGTCCAGAAAACACATATATATCCATTGTAGAAAGAAAATACACTGCTTTACGTAACTCGTCTTTTCTTTGCATTTTTTTTATGGGATCATAACTTCGACATTTTTTCAAAAGCCTTTAAGAATGCCCACCGCACCCTGCCTTTCCAGCCCTTCTCACTAAAGCGTTCAGCCGTTTTTGGAAAAAAGTCTACTACGTTTAGTAGACTAGAATCATGCGCGAAGACAACAAGAATATTCTCCAAGGCGTCGAGCTCCTGTACCTTTCCAATAGTTTCCACAACAGTAGCCGCATCTAAGTGGATTCCTCCATCTGTCGGCTGAAGTATCGGCGTTGTCGCATTGAAATCTCCCAAGATTTTGGCGCACACATCTCTAGGATAAAATGTGGTATGCGGGTGGATAGTAGACGGCAAACTCGGTGGCAGCGGTATCCATTTGCTTGGTCGTAGTTCTCCGGCATGGTACACAACATCACCACCAAGAAACACAAAGGAAGCTGGAGACTTGTTTACTCGAGCGAGTGCAGCCATATGCCCGTGAGCATGACCAGGCGCATCAAGAAGGTAGAAACTACCGTCGGCAAAATAGTCGAATGCATTAAACCGACCAATCTTTAGCTTTGCGGCAGTGAAGTCAATCTCTCGCACCTCTCGGCCTGCGAAATCAGCGTCCAATAAGCTGCTATGAGGATCAGTCGGATATCCAGGCAGGAGATTCTCCTTAATCCCCGGGCCAACTATCAAGGCTGTTCCGGAGTCAAATGTCGACGGGTCTCCCGTGTGGTCAAAGTGAGCATGGCTCCAGACAATTGCCCCAGACAATTGCCTCGATATTATACAATTGCCTCGATATTATTTGCCGAGGTGTCAATACCTTGCTCATTTAAAATCTCACGGACCCCTTTCTTGACTGTAATGCCAAAGCCAATTGTCTTGATAAGTCGAACCAAGGCAGGTGCCAGATTTTCCCAATCTTTTCGCACACCTAAATCAAAGAGTATTGTGCGATTCTGCTGTTGATTCTCGATCAGAAAGGCATATGCAGGGCTTGATGATCCTTTCTGGCCTTTGACTACTGGCTTCGTAAATGCATCTGCAGGCCCAGATATGTATGACGTTGTATCAATGATCGACAGAGATACAATACTTTCCGAGTGTGGGATCTCCACATTCGGGCGTTCAGGATTGGACATTATAAATATAGAAAAGGTTGATACTGCTCTTGATCTGTTGAGTGGTGTAAAGCAATCAAGAGTAGAACTAGGAACGGCGAGTGCGTCGAATTTAACAGTGAGAACTTGTCGGAACAGGGTGACTTTAAACCTTGCCGAAACTGTGGCGTGCCGATCAGCGTTTGTTCGAGCCGCGGCCCGCGGCTGACAATTGATTAGGCCATCTCCACCTCGGATGGGGCGTAATCTTTTTGCTCTCCTGCCCAGTACCGGACTTGCAGTGTATTTCATGTCCGCCATGGGAGCGGGGAGGTCACCGGCACAGAGCGGCGCGGCGGGGGGTTTCTAATATTAATCTAGTCGGTTTTCACCATGATTTCGAACACTCCCAAAGTAAAATTACAGTAGTAAAGTGCAGCTTATTGGATCGCTGGGACCAAGTGGGTGCGGTTTCTCTCCGGCGGCTCACCGTACCGCCTGGCCCGAAGATACGCACGGCAGACCCATGCATTGTTGCAACATGACGCAAAAGCATGATGCATTTGAAGGGAAGTCGAAAATGGACATGTTGGGATTTCTTTCAAGCATCCTCATCAGAGCAAAAAGTTGACATGAAGCTCCAGTATATACGCTTTTCGTTGGAGACAAGACACCAACACAGCACGGCGTAAAACTGATAGCCTGGTTAGGTAGAAAGCATTTTTGGATAGCGGTAGCCTTGTTACAGTGTTTAGAGAATTACTTTGACTGAACTAGACGTTATAATCACGGACCACTGCACTGATAGCCTGGTTAGGTAGAAAGCATTTTTGGATAGCGGTAGCCTTGTTACAGTGTTTAGAGAACTACCTTGACTGAACTAGACGTTATAAATCACGGACCACTCCAGTGATCCGGTCACGAGATCATTCTGTCCTAATTAGGTAGGTCTCAGCTTTTTTTAGCTGCATCTTTCGGCCGCCACGCCAACTGCCTCCACTGATTAAGTAAGTGCGTTCGTAACAACAAAAGTGTTTTACCAGCGGTATATTGTACAAGGAGAAGCCTAGTGTTGATAGTTAGCATTCCCTTCATCAAGGCGCAATGAAGAGTATCCGTTCCGTCGCGGTGATAGTGCAACCAACCGAGAGTAGTCCAGCGAGCCGAGGAGGCTTAAACCATCATGAGCGGAGATTCAAACTCCACCTACTGTATGTACTGTATGTACATACATACAGTACCTCCGCGTACTTTTTAGCCGTACTCCGCAAACCTTACGAAACTGTAAATAAAAAACAGCATGCCTAGAAGCCAACTTATCGTCATTCTTCTGAATTCGTTCTACATACATCTTATTCCCCCCTCGTCGATAAAGAGTTCCACTTTCTAGCATCTACCCCTCATGACCGACCAAATGCAGGCATGGCAAGTCACTGCCCCTGGCCCAATCTCTGAAACGCTCAAGTTCACCGACGAGGCTACCAAACCCTCCGCCGCGTCTCTCAGAGGTGACCAGATCCTCATCCAAGTCCAAGCTGCGGCCATCAATCCCGCCGACTACAAGACAAACCAGATGGGCTCCGGTTTTCTGTCGCGCGCCCTTATTTCGTATCCAAAGACCCTTGGTATGGACCTTGCTGGTATTGTCGCTGCCGTTGGCCCAGGCGCCTCAGATATTAAGGAGGGCGATCATGTTTTTGCGAGAATCGATCCCCTCAAACAACCCGGCGCTTTATCACAGTACATCATTTCCAATCGGGATGGATATGCCAAAGTAGCAGACTGTACAAACCTCAGTGCCGCTGCCTGTCTTGGGACCGCCGGCCTGACCGCGTACCAGAGCATCTATCCATATGTTGACGCTGGCAACAGCATATTTATTAATGGAGGCTCCGGTGGTGTGGGAACACTTGCAATCCAAATCGGCAAAATTTTAGGCTGCCATGTCACCGCATCGTGCTCGACTTCCAAGGTCAACTTGTGCAGGGATATGGGCGCCGACGAGATTATCGACTACAAGACCGCCGATGTCGTCGAGACCCTGCAAAAGTCCGGCCGGCAGTACTCTCTTGTACTTGACTACGTTGGCAAGTCACCACAAAACTTCTACATCACTGCCTCAACAGTTCTCACCAAGAAGGGCGTCTTAATTCTTGGCTCTCCAACTATCTCTACAATCATCAACGCCACTCTATGGCCGGGATGCCTCGGCGGCAGTAAGCATAAGGTCGTGACATACTTGACGAAAAATTCACACGACGACATGGTGCAGCTATCTAAGTGGTTGGATGATGGCAGCTTGAGGGTCGCTATCGAGAAGTCGTATGACTTTAGCCAGGTAATGGCCGCCTACGAACATTTGAAAAAAGGGTCTACTGCTGGCAAGATTGTGATCCAGATTCCATAAAACCAGAGCTTGTGTTTCCTGGCGACCGAGGCCACACCGAGCTGGTGGGCAGTTGCGCGTATCTTGGCAGACAGCACAAGACGCATGCTGATTACGCAGCAAATGAGATGCTACAGAGCACACAAAGAAGACTATCGCAAAATATGGCGGATGTTACTGCCAGCGTCTACCCCATTTCAACAAGCAATGGCAGGTAATATTGAACTCAAGTTAGGTGGACTAGGTCTCTAGTGAGCACGCTTAGTTCTAATGTACTAGAATAGATTCTATTTAAACTATAAGAAAGACCTACTTAATATTAGCTTCCTAGTAGTAGGAATTAAGTTAAAGTCTACTTTTTCTTAATATCTTTATTTAAGTATAAAAAACTAAAAGTATAAATAATTAGTTTAGTTTAATATAATTAATTAATATAAAAGTTTTAGTTATAATTTTATATAATAATTTTAATTTAATATTTTTTAATATTAATAATAATTATAAAACTATAAATA